CCTGAAGAGAAGCAGGAGCTCCCTGGGGTGCGGGGCAGTTCCTGGGGCAGGGATCCGGGTCTGAGACCGCCGCTCCTGTGGGGCTTGTGCCTCTCGGAAAGGAGGACGGCAACTGGCTTTGTCCGTCTGGGAGACTGTCAAAGGCGGCTTCCTCCCGTACGGCTTTGAGCTGAACCCAGGCCTGGCCCTGTGGCAGGGTAGCGCGGCGGAAACCAGCGTAGAGGCCTCCAGCGCCTTGGTGCAGGCAGCACTCAAAGGGCTGCAGGACAAGCTGGTTCCTCGCCACTCCCAGGGGTGACCGAGGGCAAGCAGCTGATGCTTTTAAGTCCCTGCACTGGTAGCATGGCCATCAGAGCTCCCATTTAAAGGTCTTTTATTCATAGTTGTTGGGGTCAGAAGGGATCTCAGCAGGTCACCGAGTCTGACCCCCTGCCGTGGGCAGGGAAGAGCGTGGGGGGCCGACCATCCGGCCAGGTGCATGTCCAGCTTCCTCTTGGTGCGTGGTATACAATTTCTCCCAATTCCTCTGCTTTCTGCCCCACACCCCAGGCTTTCTGCACTTGGGCGGCCTCCGCACAGCTTTATACAACTATATTTTTGCCAAAAAACATGGAGGGAGCTTTATCTTGAGGCTGGAGGATACGGATCAGAGCCGAGTGGTGCCTGGGGCTGCGGAAGGTATCGAAGACATGCTGGAGTGGGCAGGTAACTTCCAGCTCTGTGCTTTTCGCTTGCCTGCCAAGACGTGTCGCAAAGAGTGCTCTTGCCGTCATGTAAAAGCCTGAGGGTTGATAAAATGACAAGTTCTGAAGTCTTCATGGTATTTAGTGGAAGGTCATTACTGTGATGGACTAAGAAAGGTGAGAGCGTCTTGTGGCCACCTCCGTGCGCTGCACTTGGCGAGCAGAGATGCATCAGGTCTGCTAAAGCGCCTGTAAGCGCGCACCCATCTCGGCTGCTGGGAATGGCAGATCTGAAAGAGGCGATGCTGTAATGCACTCGATCGCGCTGTAGATCTGCAGGTGGATTCCCGTGCTGGGAGTGGACAGTTATTTGCTGCCGGAGAGCTGTGGCTCTCTGCACCCATTTAATACTTTTGCGTTCCAGATTTTACTTGTTAAATCCTGTTTCTTCTGGCGTTCCAGGTATCCCGCCTGATGAGAGCCCGCGCCGAGGTGGCCCCGCTGGGCCCTACCAGCAGTCATGCAGGCTTGAGCTGTACGCGAAAGCCTGTGATGTCCTTGTGGAGAAGGGTGCAGCTTACCGCTGCTTTTGCACTCCTCAGCGCCTGGAGCTGCTGAAAAAGGAAGCGCTGCGCAGTCGGCAGGTGCCACGGTAGGGAGCTTTCGCCGTGACCTGGTGGGTGCTTGTCTCCTAGGCTGTGTATTTGCAGAACTAATAATGAAGTCTGGCAGTTTGTGACTCCAAATGCCAAACTCAAGGTCACTAACATCGCAGTCACTTGGATTTTAGCTCCCAGTGCATCTCATTATTGAAGAGGAAGTCCAGGTCCCCAGCCTGAATGGCAACTGTTGCTGTTTACGTGCTGTGCTCTTTCTCTAAAGAGCAGTGCAGATGTTGAGTGATGCAGCTTCCCAACCCTTCGTAAGACAGGGATGTAGATAAGTGTTATCCTCCATTGGTATATCAGGGGATAGAAATACAGAGGTAAAGTGATTTGACCAAAGCCGCAGAACAAATGATTGAAAGAGTCAAGGTTAGATCTTGGGGTCCAAGCTAGAGCAGAAATCCATAAGAGGCTCGTGAGGAAAGGGGCCTCTTGCCCGGTATACTGACTCAGACTGCTGCCATCCTGTTCCAGGTACGACAACAGGTGCCGACACCTGACCTCTAAACAAGTAGCTGAAAAGCTGTCGCAAGGCTCCGAGTGGGTGATCCGCTTCCGACTGGAGGGAGATGCAGAGCCCTTTAATGACCTGGTCTATGGGTGGACCAGCCACGAAGTGGCCAGCATTGAAGGGGACCCGGTGATCCTAAAGCGGGATGGCTTCCCCACCTACCACCTGGCAAACGTGGTGGATGACCATCACATGGAAATCAGCCACGTCCTGCGTGGGACAGAGTGGCTGACTTCGACGTCCAAGCACCTCCTTCTCTACAGAGCTTTTGGCTGGGACCCCCCACAGTTTGCCCATCTCCCGCTGCTCCTGAACAGAGATGGCACCAAGCTGTCCAAACGGCAGGGTGACATCTTCCTGGAACGTTTTGCTCGAGATGGCTACTTGCCAGAAGCGCTGCTGGACATTATAACCACCTGCGGCTCTGGGTTTACAGGTACCAGGTGCAGGGTGGGCTTTCTCTGGGCAGTGGGGGCTGCCTCAGGGGCTGGTTACTTGACTGGAAAGGATCTGGTCTAGTAATGCTACGGAACTCCCAGCTCTGTTTGGAGGAAGTCAGGGCAGGGGATCTCATCAGCTAGCGTGAAAGGACTTTTGCAAGTAAATTGCTGCTACCTGTTCTGAAGCCGCCTCTAGGGGGGATGGATGGTGCATTAGAGTGGTGATGGGGTCTGGGTTTTGGTGCTATTGAAATGGAGTCTGCTGCCTAGCTGACCAAGTTCCTGGCCATCTCAGCACAGAGCAGTGGGCCCTTGAGATGATTTCCCTCCAATGTGCTGCTGGCTGCAGGGCAACCGCTGTTCCTGGCTCGAGGCTAGCAATGAGTAGCAGTGATGCCCGTTCTCTGTCAGAGGCACCTTGCACATAACCCCCCCTATTGGGTCATTTTGCAGGTAACCAGGGGGGGAGGACGCTGGGGGATTTGATTTCGGAGTTCAACATCGGCCGGATAACAACCCACTCTGCCCTGCTGGACCTGGACAAGCTCCCGGAGTTCAACAGGTGGGCAGCTCGGTGCCATTACAACCACAACCTTGTTTCTCTGCAGCTCTCCCCCACCTCCAAGGACTCCACCTGCCTTTTTGTTTAGCTCGCTTCTCCAGGTGTGGCCTTGCTGTGGTCCTCTGAGCTTCCCGCTTCTCCCCTGCTCAGACAGGGTTCCAGCAGCCCCTGTCAGCATCCTGCCTGTCAGACCCCATGGAGGCTTAAGGGGTCATTTGATCCCAGCATTCATTTCTGTCCAGGGCAGGGGGTCGGGCATGATGATCTGCTCAGGTCCCTTCTGACCCTATAAACTATGAAACTAACACATGCCCCCTCCACACTCCCCTGATGTAACAGGGCCCTGAGGTTCACTTGGCAGAGAATGGGTTGCCCGTTGAGGGGGCCTGAAACCAACCCGTTCAAGATTGCATCAGTCTAAACCACAGTAGCGTTCGCGTGCTGGATGTTTGGATAGAGCAGCGAGTGTGGCCTGAGGACCTTGAGGCCGCATTGCTGTCGCTGAACGAGAACTTAATTCTGGGTGAAAATCTGCTTTGTTAACCACAGCTTTTTAAGGGTTTCTCTTTGAAGCACCACGCATCCCACCAAGGCTGCTTCTCCTGGGGTGCTGCTTTGCTGTTTCTTGTTTCTCCTCACCGCCACATCCACATTCTAAGTGATTCCATGGTTTTTATTGCAAGTGTGGGGTGAGTGTGGCCAGTCAGTTGAGCGTAACTAAGGGTCCTGTCTTCTCCACAGGACTCACCTGGTCCGGCGCATTGAGGACGAGAGGCTACGACCCAAGCTGGTGGGAGAGCTGCAGGCCCTGGTGGAGCAGGTTTATGGGGAACAGCTCATGGACAGAGAGGTTCTAGAGAAGGACTATGTGGAGCGTATCCTGCTGCTGTGGAAAGTATGACAAGCCTCTGTAGGGGGAGGAATGGCAGGTGGGAGGGCAGGGGCTCTGTGACTTGGCTGGGCTGCTGTGCCTTGCGCTCCAAAGTTCCTGGTTTGCTGCCATTCAGCTGCAAGTGGTGAAAGGCTGGTGTTGCCATCCCCAGCATTTGTATCCAGAACGTGGTGGGACCGTGTGTGCCTGAGCTGCAGGTGTGAATATGCCCAGTGTCCCTGGTGCTCCTGCAGAATAAGCACATTGGGTTGACAAGTGTCAGATGGTGGGCTCAACAGAAGGGCCCACGCCCTGGGCACTTCTTTATCTCTGGGTTTTGTTGGCTGGGCAGCATGGGGGAGGGCTGTGTGTTTGGGACTGACTGGAGAAAGGAGCTGGGTAAATCAGCAGGTTCCTGAATCCAGAGCCCAGCTAGAAGAGGAAGCAGCAAAGCAAGTGCTGGTGCGGGGGTGGTGCTGACACAGCAGTGAGCCCTGTGGCTCGTTGGGGCCCCTGCTCCACTTGTGTCCTGTGGCAGCTCTGCCGGGCTCGGGAGCTGCTGCATGTTCTCTCAAATGATGCCAGCTCCTTCACGGAGGCAGAGGTGTCCTGGCTGCTGGGGGCACGAAGTTTTGCTGTGACAGTGATCACGCGTTGCTCATGTGATTTCCTGCCTCTATCTCTCCACTGAGCCAGCAAATGAATGTGGTGAGCCACATCCAGGGGCCCGACTGAGTCAGCCTGCCCTGTACTTTGCACCGTCCTTTGCACCAGCCCAGCATGGGTATAAGACCCTGCGCTGCGCTTCATGCTTCCTGCATGGACACCAAGTGTGAGGTGACCAGTATGGAGACTGTGGCACTGCCTGTGAAACCCAGGGACAAGCAGAGGCTTGCTTTCTCTCCCTCTCCTTGACAGCAGCCTCCTTTCTGTCTTCCAGGGCCACATAAGCCTCCTGAAGAGCCTGGTGTCGCCCAACTACTCCTACTTGTGGGTGAGGCCCTCTGTGCCTCGAGAGCAGCTGGAAGCCTTGTCGGCAGAAGTGGATGAGATAGGGAGGCTGGTTCTCGGGTAAGTGGCTCCCTCCCCAGGGTAGCTGCCTGGTGACTGCACTGATATTGCCGGGGTAGGGAGAAGAGAAATGCACGTTGAACCACGTTGTCGTGAGCATGCTGTGAGAAGCTGCAAGTGCTCATTAACCAAAAGAGATTTCTGACACCTGCGAGCAGGGACCATCTCTGTTCCGTGCCTCTGCAGCACCCAGCCCATGACTAGGACTCGTCAGCAGTGGGATAACGTACCATCCCCACAGGCCCTTGGGGTCCTAGTTCTGCTATCCTGCAGCCCCCCGGCCCCGTGTCACCCATGGTAGCATCTCCAGTAGAGAAACCAGGAAGGCTTGTGTAGGTAGGTGCCAGACTATTCTGGCAAACAGCAAGGCCATGATGTGGTCAGGATACCAGTGTAATGAGCCACAGGCTTCAGCATGAATCCTGTGCTTGTCCAAGGCCCTGTCCCCTCTGGAGATCTGTCCCTGTAAGGGGCCTGTCCTCTTGCCGCTGGTGTTTCCTCCCACTGCTCCCCCATCCTTCCTGTGCAGGCATCAGGGGACGGTCCCTGAAGCTGCTGCTCTGCTGGCTCCCTTATGTTATGTCTCTGATATGCGCTTATCCCACTGCGTTTCAGCCATGATCTGCACCACCATATGCTACCGCGGGTGAAGACCTCCTTCCCCTTGCTCTGCCAAGCCCTCCTGGCATTGACCTGTGTAACTACCTGTTCAGATCCTAGCCCTCCCAGCACTTGGCTTGTATGCAACAGTCCCTTTGGGGAGACTCCTGCCCACACCCCATGTCCCCTGGCTGATGGGACCTCTCTCCCTCAGGCTGATGGAAGGGCAAGCCACCACTCTCACCACCAATGGCTTGAGCCAAGACTTGAAAGGCCTGCAGGAGAGGCTCAAGGGGACCAAATACAGCACCATGATGAAAATCCTCCGCTTGGCCCTCAGTGGACAGCAGGTAAAAGCTATCTGGGGCTGGGATCTTCCCATCCCCAAACAGCTCCTACCCCTGGGTCCTGAGGACGCTGCTATTGGGGTTTTAAATCTGATGACGTGAAGGTGACAGGGAAGTGAGAGAGAAGCGAGAACTACCAAAGTATCTCTTGGCAGTCAGGACACTGGTTAGAAACACAGCTGGCTCAGGTACCCGGGTGTTGGCAGCCGCCAGGTTTGTGCGTGTCCTGGTTCTTCCTCTGCCCTAGGCAGCCACCACAAACAAAGCTGGTTCCTTTCCAGGTGTAGCTCCCTGGAGTTCATCTTGGACTAATGAGGGGGATTTTTCTTCAGGAACCAGAAGGGAAACTTCTGCTTTTATTGCTAGTAATGTTGTGTTGACTCTAGCAGTAGTCTGGCAGCTAGTCACTCGGCTGTCTCCAGTGTGGCACGAGGCACCAGCTTGTACCTGTGCGAAACACCAGCCCAGCGACTCTTCTGTGTGTTTTCAGCAAGGGCCAGGCATTGCAGAGATGATGGTCTCCCTGGGCTCCCGAGAGGTGTGTGGACGGATACGGAAGGTGCTGTCCAGCTAGCAAGAAGCTGCCAGAGGGAATGGCCCCTCCGGGCAGGCAGCAGTGGCTGCTCAGGGCTCTGCAAGTTCTTTGTAGCCCTAGGTGTGCACCGGACAAACTGGCTGAATTGCTTGCGGATCCACGTGCGTCTTCTGAGGTGGCAGCTTGGACACGAGGGCAGCAGGGTCCACCCCAGTGTGCACACCTTGTAGGAGCTGGCTGCTGTCTGGGTGCGGATAATGAGACCTTCTTCTCGGTGAAGCTTTTCCATCCAGCCGGGGACAGCAGAGGCTGAATGTGTACTTCTGACGGCCGCCAAATGTCCCCGAGCTCATCAGAGGGGAGGTGCGTTTTGGAACAAACACAGTCACGGCCAAGTGGCTCCCACCAACCGTTGGGGAAGAGGTGTCATGGGAGCAGACTGTCCTTTCAGCCATGCACATCTGGCTTGGCACACCTATGTCGGTGGCAGCTGGTGCAGGAGAAGCTTGTGGTTTCCACTCTGCTTACTTTGTGGGTGACGTGAGGGCATGAATGCCCAGCACCAAAGCTCACTCTCCAGCAGTGCCCAGTTCCTTTTCTCAAGTCCCTGGTAGTTTTTTTTTCTCTTTGGGCAAAGCTTATTGTCATTCTTAGGTGAAAGTGTATCGGGTGGGTCTTTTCCTTGCAGGGAGTCCTGCCCCCTTCCCTCCTGTACTGCTGCAGAGGAAAGCACACACTTGCATCCTTAGGTTTAAGTGTGATGCGCCCGTGCAGCTCTTCCCTATAAATAAAGTCTCTACATAGTTCACTGTGGCCTCCTCATCTCTCGATGTTCTGAGTGCATTGGGTGCAGGGTGGTGGCCAGAGCTGGCCGTAGACTTGCTTGGCTTTCCTCCCAAACAGGCTTCTCTGAAGCCAGAGAACAGGTTGGACATGGGGCGGGTGCGAGGTTGTGACACCGCCTCCGCTGAAGCGAAGTGGAGAGGCACCGGTGCCACTTGAGGTCCTGTGTGGACCCTCGACCCATCCTGTTTAAACATGTGCGTGTGAGAGCTGGGGCTGCTCGGGAATGAACTGCTTTAGGGGGAGCAGCCCTCTTCTCCCTGCCGCGCCAGGGAAGGGGAGCTGCTGTCTGAGAACAGACGGGGTGGGCAGCGAGCTCGGGAGTCCGCCCCCCTGCCCCAGCTCCATCATCCCATGCCCGGCTTTGCGAGCCGGGCGTAAACCCCTCCACCGGGAACCTGCTCCCCTCCCGGTGAGAGTTTCTCTTCATATCCAACTTCAGCGTCCCTTGCTGCAACGAGCCGGTTGCCCCTTGTCCTTCCCCTCCCGCGGCAGCGGCTGAGTGCGGCGCAGGTGCCGTTGAAAGCGGGGTGGGGGGGGAGGCACGTCCCGACACGGGAACTGCCCGGCGGGCGGGCTCGAGCCCTGCCGCCGCCGCGGG